AGTCCTAATTCTGTTAAATTCATTTAAAGTTATTCTGACGAAGACTAGAACCGTTGCCTAGAAACTTAGGTATTTAGTAGTAGAGTCTATTAACGATATGACTACATGAGAGAAGGTTCCGCTCTGAAATAGGCAGAGGTCTTGTGATTTCTTTTTGCTAAAGGATACGAAATAATAGAGATATCATGCAAGTGTTCCTTTAAGAACCTCCCATTCAACACATTTCCTTTCTTGACAGCTACTGAATAGGCGCATGAAACAAAGAATACTCGAGCAATGGGACAGATTAATGGTGTTTTATCTAAATACTTCCGCCCAGTTTCCCTTGAGATAAGTTTGGAGAATGCAAAATTGCAATAAGGAAACTATAAATGCATGCATTTCTTTGATATATATATAAGTTGTCGTTGATCAGTGTCATCCGATCCCCTCAACGCAATAATCCAGTTTCGAATTCGCCAATGCTCTGTGTTAGCCTCATTTGTGCGCAAAACATTCCTAATTGTGAGAATAAAAGTGTGAGATTTCAAATGAATGCTATTSTCTTTCTTTTCAAATTCCATGCGTTTTCTCTGGCTATCAATGAAACAAAAGATTATGTTGCTTGGTTTTTAGGCTAACACAGAGAAAGCCAGAACTCGAAATTGGAGTGTTGGTTTAGAGAAACACTCAATCGGTTTTCTTGACTTCCTGATTCATATTATGATGTCCGTATAATCTTATCATATTTGGAAATGCTCATGAAGTCCTTTTTGTCGATTTTTTCACCTTTTAGAGCTTCAAAACGTTTAAACCTTCCAGATATTGCGGGGAACGAGCAATTCGTGGACTCACGCCAAAAAACTACAATTATTGTAGGACTTAGTGTGTTGTTACGCCAGACGCTTCACAAAATCAGATTCATACTTGCAAACCATGGACGATCATCATTTAATCAATAATAAATCGTGTATTGAAGTGCACTCAAAGTGGGAAAAAGTACTTACYAAATATGGTGTTCAAGATATAGAGGATATCACACGGGTGCGCGGTAGATACGGATTTTATCTTTAAGTGTTGAAAAGATCTCTGACGAGTGAGCGTAGCGAACGAGTGAGAGATTTTCAACACGAGAAGATAAAATCCGTACCTACGCGCACCCACGTAATATTCTGTTTATTATCTAATTACATATGAAAGCAAACTATGTCGTAAAATAGCACTTCCAAGATATAGAGAAACCTCGAATGTGTTATTGCTAGTGAAAATAACAACTTTACGAAATGGAGAAATATATAAGGTATTTCAGAGATAATTATATGAGCAAAATKACAAAATTAGATAATAGAAAAATAACTTTTTCGTGTTATTTTAATATTTGCACTCTAAATTAATGTCAGTTAATTGCAACATAAAAATATTCTGGCGTGTGCTCCTAATACAAATACTATCCTTCGACAATGACGTCATACAGCCTTGAGCTCATTTTATTCAAATATACATCTCGTAATTTAAAAAAAAAATCTATACGTCATTTGTTTGTAAACATATACTTGAATAAGTAGCAAAACTGAACTCGTTATTCTACTTAATTACGCGATCCTCGTATGCCATTAACCTCCGTAAGAGCGAGTCAAAATAGTCAAATTGTCAGTACGTTTGACAGCAATTTCACTAAATGAACTGTTAATATTACCATTCGCGTTTTTATCAAAGAGAACCAGGCATCAAATGCTCTCTTAGATAATGGGATATCAATAATTGTGACAAGTCTTATTGAAAAATTCATGTATATAAACAAAACAGTGCGCGTACAAGTGTAAAATATTAATTGAGAGAGTTCTTAAGTGTGTATGGATACCTWTGTTATCGACTTCAGCGCTTCTACAAAGTTGCTGACAGYTGATTCTATATATGATTTCGCCAAGAAAATGTCGTCTTACTTACTTTTGACAGGTATTTGTTGAATCATTGTACACAGCAAGGAATTCAAATCGAAAAATGGTTCATTGATTTTAGCATCAATAAAGCACTTGAAACATAAATGATCTAGAAGTCACGCTTTTGTGGAAAAGAATTCATAACGAAACAACTATTTGAAAAAATACATATATTAAAAAAAAAACTGAGATGAAATATTAAAGAAATGTATTATTTAAATCAGAAAAAAATAATGTAACAATGACTTACGTTTARTTTCCTTTTTTGCAAAGAAGTAATTTCTGATCATAGATAATAATAAATATTTCCTGAATGCGAGCCAATATTGATAATTATAAGCAAGTGATATCTAAAGGATCTAACAGGAGGAGCCRACGGSATCTGTTCTTCTAWATAACTGTTCTTGTAYGTGTCTTTTCCTGGGAAAGTGATTGTTGAGCCCACATTGTTCACAAGCAAATATGGCGCCCTTCTTTTTTTWAAATGATTTTGTTCCTGGCAAACGTTTTTAAGGTCAAAAATAGCTTGTGTAACGTTTTAATGGTCAAAAACGGCTTATATCTTTTTAGCTAGGAAATGTTTGTTTTCCTGGAAAAATGTTTTAGAAAGTATTCCTTGCATGCCTGGAGAGTTCTTTCTTCCGGCATTTCTCGCTGGCAACAAGTTGTGACTTACGGCTGGCTGGGACATAAGAACGGATACATTTCTCCCAGAAACCCGTCGGCTCCTCCTAATCTAAGGCCTTTTGAGAGRAAGGTTAAGGAATCGAACTATCAATTGAGTCTTGCAAAGGCTTTTGGGATTGTTGCCCTGAATTCACACATCTCAGTTCTCCCTTACTATAATTAATTTAAATTAAAGAATATTCGCCATCTTGAATCGTTTACAATGTTTCTTGTCCATATAAGATCTAATTAAATTTCCACTACATATTACAAACCTGCATGTCTTGTCTGGAACACGTGATCTCCCAGGTTACCGCTGACCGACAACATCTCCTTAAACRAAATAAAGAATGACGTAAGTTCCTTGCATTCAGTTTATGTAAATCAATAATCTTTTATAAATTCATTTATGACACACGCTTTGTTGGGCCTAAGGGAATAACCGACCTGTTCAATATCTGATTCCAACCCCCTACATGATAATTCGATCGCGGGAAAAAGCACTAAGGATTTTTATACAGCGATTATAAGGCTTTGGAAGATGGAGTCCGATCCAAAAAAAAATGAAAGAAAGAAAGAAAAAGAAAAAAGGGGAAAAAAAGAAGAAAAGAGAAGAAGAAAGAAGATATGTCTCTCAAAGTTAAAATATAAATTGTGAATTTTAGAAAACACTCCAACGAAAAATCTTTCAGCCTCTCCGACCGCATTGCTTGATATTTCTCTTGTGTGATGACGTCATCTAAGGATGCAAGTTGATTTAATTTTATGCTACGCATGCGCGCCAGAGGATGAATTGAATTTCATCCAGTTTAGTGCTTTTGAATTGTGAGGAATGTCCATATTGTATTATGAATATTTCCAGAAAACGCTTTGTTACACTGCCTTAAACACTCTTGATTTCATTACAGAAGAATGTTATGATTACAAATTTATATCGATAGGAAATTTATCGCACTCAAAGAATCAGTTTCCCGAATGTACAATGCAATAATAAAATAAGAAATTGTATGTGTTTCTGAGAAAGTAGGTTATAATTAAATCAAAAACAAAAAAGGCGAAACTCATTCAATTATTTGCAGAATGCTTGCGTGCAAGATATCCRAATAAAAATAAATCAGTGCTATCTGCTTTAAATAGCTGTACACTATCTATGTAAGAAAGATATATAAAATATRTCAAAGGTATYAAAAATAAATGTATATTAGTTCTAMAAAAAATAGTGAGCATAGCTGAAAAAAGTGTTCGCATACAGGTATTCAAAAGGAAAGTTTAGTTTTGATAATTCTAGTGTAATGGAAAGGAATTTTGAAAATTTTTTCTATAAATCCAGCCAAATCACTCTTTTACGATATCWKTTTTTTGAWGGGATATATCGAAGCATTACCGGTTTGAAGATGTTTCTCYAGCAGATCTCCAGTAGTTCTGAASTGMTGTCGTCTTACGAAATTGCGAAGGACCGAGTGTACGCAAWGGCTATTGTAGCACTTTGAATGGGGCGTAAATCTCGCGCTGAGTTCWCTGTTAGCAACGTTAAGTGTTCGAACACGGACCTAACGATGTTATAGCAATGACTTTCACAAATACACTCTACAGAGAWTACCTAGTCACGTCTTTTATTAGTGTCAATGGAGGACTGGATGTCCTGGGTAGAAGCATTGAACGCGGCGTCTSTGATATCATGTTTTCATTATGTTTACAATAGTAAAATCCTGTGAAATTATTTTTGTAGATAGACTTTGTTAAAACGAGTTTTATTTTTAAATTGGGGAAAAAATCATAGAAAAATATTTCTCTTTTGTTTTGTTTTTGTTTTTTTCTTTTTATTCATCTTCTTTCGGAACTGATCTTAATATAACGGAATGTTCTGGTAATTCGGAGAGTTCGCAAAATCAAATTTAAAGCAGCTCTCATAAAGATTTAAAACAATTTAATTGAGTCCTCTTTAAAACCATCAAATATAAATCAGAAAGGAAAARTTCTTTTCTATATCTATAAAGAGTGCAGACTGAGTAATTAGTCTTTAAACTTCAAATGCGTTCCTGTTATGGCATTGGATTTTTCTCCTATAGAGTCACTGAACAAAGCATGCTGGGATACTCCTTTGGGGGTCTTTGTTTCTCTATTATACAAAACAAAAGTTTTGCAAATCTCTTTAAATTTCATGACTATCTTGCTTTTGGGGTGAAAGTTGAATAAAGAATAAACTTTGGCCTTTAGGCATGTGACTACACACAATTAAAAGAAAAAAAAGAAAAAAAWWTAGAAGAAATGACTACTGATTATTTGAAATTAATCTACTAGAATTTCACGACTAAAAATAGACTAATATGATGTGAGGAAAGACCTACATCAACTAAGTTTGGTTGTATAGAAACCCCATAATTTCTCTTTAAATGACGTATGTGCTCAGTCGCGTGCATGACTTTGAAGTTTTCACTGGAAAAAATCGCGCGCTTTAAAGGTTGTAAATTTGATGTAAATATGATGTAAGTGTCCAAAATGATGTAAATTTGATGTAAATCATTTCCATCAAATTTACAACCTTTATGGCGCGCGATTTTTTCCACGTAGAATGATTAAACTGACTACTGCCATTATATAGGGCAACAAAYTTAGCAAAGATATCAAATTATAGATAGTACAAGATATATTAAATGTTTGTTTATTAAATATATTCAGACTCGTACAACCGTTAAATTTTGCAAAAAAAATAAAACAATACTGATTTTTGCGATTTAAAAAAAATCAGTCATGAAAGGCACTGCATGTTAAATACATATGAAGTAGTCTAGTTGAACTATTTGTAATTTAAAAATATCGCATAGTCTTTCTTGATATTGATGAATCCTTGATTCTGTCAAACTTTNCAACATTCAGAAATTGTTATCATTTTAGAAAAAAGCTAAAAAATGCGAAAACAGAGATTATGCATGTTAAACTTCTACTGAGCATGTGCATTTGTCACAAATGAAAAAATGTCCATCATGTGACCCAATAGTTGGATTCTGATTGGACTAATATCTCATGAATTATTCATGAGTTCTAGAAAGCACTATAGAATCGATCGATTGAGCAACTGGTGTAACATGCCGGCTGTCTGAAGTCAACATGCGTGCAATTTGAGTGGCTCCTACAAAGGATGTCGAGCCGTCAGATATAGCTAGCAGACTTCTCACAACGGGAGATTAGGCAGTATTTCCAAATTAACGCTTGCACCTGTGCTCAAACCACTCGCTCTCTGACTCATCATAGTTATAAGCTCTTGWAGAAGAAATCTTTGAGCTCTTTGAAAACCCTCATGGCCAATAACGTACAGTCTATTTTTATATATAGATCAATGAATGAGACGAATCCACTGTCAAAGTATCCAGCAATGTTTCGAGATTTTAATTTTTACAAGGACTTGTGTAAATAGTGAAAATGATTTTGATAAGTTTTGTTCTYTTTATTAAGATTATAATTTAATTCTTTGGATCATACTAATATACCATCAATGTTATTTATGGAAAAAGTATTATAAATATCTGATGATACTGAGCATAATATAACGAAAGGGACTTCATAATTTGTTACGCGCTTTTAAGATATGGAGTGRTGATGGACTGAGTAATATTACTGTTAACAAGTTAACCATGTGTCAAAAAGAAATAATRAAAACCACTTGTGATATCACTGAACATTTCAAAATATTGAAATAACATTGTCATTTGTAATAAATATAGCATGTTGTCTTTGGGTTATTCAGTAGATTCGTAGCCCATTTAGTGAAAATGCAAAGGTTTGYTTATATCAGTGCAGTTAATAGTTTAAGTAGAAAGGACACATTTCTGTATAGTCTGGTTCAAAAATTTATCTGATGCTTTGAAAATGAATCGAAATATTTCATTTATGAACGCTATATAAAGGTTCGACAAAGAAGCAAGATCAATGCCTAACAGGCGTGCTTCACTAAAGTTGTTCAAAAAACTTTGTTTCAAAATAGGAATAACATGCAGTCTGCACCAGAACTAGCGAGCTTTAGAAAACTTTACAGTACATTTCATCAGAGAGAAAACTTTTCTGTATTAGGACTATAAAGTTGATCATTTCTAACGGTATGATTCAGTTTTCTTGCAACGAGCTTCGGCTCTTCAATTTTTGATGTTTGCTACGCAAGACGATTTCTCKCACAAAACCTGTTTGAAAGCTTATAAAATGTATCACAGCATAGGTGATTTACAGCGAAAATCGTGGTTATACTAGCAACAGCTGTAACGTGACAAAACATTACTAAATTGAAATCGTTTCTTGTTAGCTTGGAATTTATTTTAAAAGGGAAGATAAAGCGAGAGCTGAGTAGAGACGATAATTGAAAGTGTTTTGTGTTATAAAATGCATGTTATTTTAACGCAAGCACATACGCAAGGACATAAATACCAGTGAGATAGCAAACAGCTTTTTTTCTTTGCAGAGAATCCGGCGAATCGAATTGAACCAAACATACTGATGAATTGAATCAAATAATGTAAAAGAAATTCGAATTAAAGAATATATTACTAGAATTAATAAAGAAACGATGTTAAACAGATATAGTTATTGATATTTCATGCTGTATTTACTGCGTTGATAATGATGCTGAAGGCTACAGGAAATCCAGCTTAAAATAATCATCCGAGTACACTTAAAAATGATTTTTCACTACATGGACTCCACCTCAAAATAAGTGACAATGTTGATTTAAGAATACAGCGCAGTGACTAAAAAAGGACCGAAGGTTTTCTAATAACGATTAGTGGCCAGAAAACGAGAGATACATGATAAATTTTGACAGATTCTTAAGTATATTAACTGGTCCAATGCACTTGTTACAGACTCTTAAAATATAGCACAACCCTTCTGGCAGAAAGGAAGCTTAAAACTGCTTTCTCATGATACTTTCATTTCTCAGCCATAATATCAACCACTTGACAGGGCTGTATTTTTGGCAACAAGTTTGCCAGGCTAACAACATAACGCGCAAAATAGTACAAATGACTTTGGAGATCAAATGGAACTGTCCTTTTTTGAGTTTTTAAAAACACTTTTTTTAGCGTTAAAAAGATTGAACAGCTTAAGTAGAAGTTCAAAAATATTACAACGGTTATTTTTTGACTTGTTTTCAGACGATCGGCTATTGGTTGCCATTACAATTTGGCACTTCTCAGTTTAAGAACAAGAAGTGTTTAACAACTTATCACAAGTTCTGTATAGATGTTTGACTAAGCAAAGAACCGCACTTTGTACAAGAAAAGATGCTGGCTTAGTGAGGTTAGTTTAAAATTGATCATTTCCTTACAAACAACAACAATAATTGTTTCTTCCTATAGTGAGGTTTACCGCACAGTGTTTCGATGTCAAAATATTGTYAGCAAAACAAGCATTATCGCAATATACTGACATGTATTAATCAAAATGAAATGATATACCTACAGATAAAAGACATACCTGAATTGAACAAGGTAGTATAGTCACAACGTCTGCTCTAGGCCACTTCTGTTAACTTKAAAACTTTGGTTTGGGGTAAATTTCTTCTGAAGGTGCCAGTCGTTGTAAGCACTGTGCAATCAGTTCTATAACTTGCACAAACTTCAGTTACTTCTATTTATGATAAATCGTCTTATGGATCATTACCTTTCAATAGAATATTTCATGTATTATATTAATGACACGCCCCATTCGGCTCAACACTCGATTTCAAGACACGCAATTGAACTTCAAGAGAAAYAGAAGCGTCATCAATGAGCTGAATATGCAACATCTACGCAATGCATCRGATAAGCTTATAAATACCCTGGATAAAATGTTTTATATCTAACCACAATAATAATTATGTATGTTTGTATGCGTGCAACGGTTGGTTACTTCTAGAATGTTTATCCCTAGGTGTAGAACTAGGGAGGGACTTGGACATAGAAGCTGATATCTAAGCTAAATGGAGTACTTAGTCAAACCGTCTGTTGGTTATAAGGMACGGCTCAGACCCGGCGTCCACTGTCGCCGTTATATTGTTCTCTTTACATCGACCGGTTCAGAATCTTTTATGACGTGAGAGTTACAGTACTCAGTTGAAAAGAATGGTTCTGGGCGTGCTGTTATGTCAAAAACGTTGGAACAACACATGTTTATCCGGTTTATAACACTGATATTATCTAGGAAGATATCATCTTTGAAAATGCATGTGTTAGAATAAACTCGACGTGGCACGCGCCAACGGCATGGCGTGTTGATGATAGCAACCCTCTAAGTCATGGAGGTAGCCACTCTTGCATAAAATAACCCTTTTTTATAAAGTCACGATATCTTTTTAAGCGGATAAATCGCTTTGAATTATTCTTTTGGAACATGCAATGTTAATGTAATGTTGTTAATTATATTCAATTAAGGATATGTTGAAAAATATCGTTGAATTTGGACATTAGGAACTCGCTAGAATTCATAAACTTGCAAGTATCGTGACTTTCACGACACCGACTTGTTCCGCCATATGCTCTACACTTGACATTAGTTAAACATTTTTTATYATATATATATGATAAATAAATATTTCAAATAAAAATCATTAATGTGGTATGATACTGAAAACGTTCGAGAAAACATTTCTTATATAAACAAAAGCGGCAATTATGGAATTTCTTGTATCATATAAAACTTTTTAAAGAAAAAAATAATGGAATTTTTATGCAACAGGTAAGGTTCAATAATGCGAATATATTTTGTCGGCATTCCTTTTATTACACAATGTTAGAAAAAAATAACAAATTTAGGTTCCAAAAASCACTCCAATTAGCTGGAGAACTTAAGGMACTCGGAGTCCAAATCATGAGTCATACATGATCGAAATCATGGCAAAATGATTTCACTTTAACACATTCTATTTATGATGTCGATAGAAAGCTTCACGAATAAAGCGCTTTAGTTTAGCTTTCTTAGTTTAAGGCCTTGTTTTCCCATTTCTTTTCTCCTAATTATTCAGAGGATGAGAAAAGACAGGCAAAGCTATATCGCTGCTATGCAGGATGAACAGGATGAATAAAAAAGACAAGTTTATAAAAAAAACTTTGTGACGTACTGACATGCAACTGTGGGTGTTGTCCGAAAAATAACCTCATAGTACTTCTAAAAGCCATTTAGGTAGAAATTGTCATGTCAGACATTAAACAACACAAATATGAAAACTACAAATGAAAGCATTGCGCATGGAATGAGTTTACATGGAAATTATGTATTTGGGAATCGATTATTTTGTCTTTAATTACGTAATTTAACTTACTTCCTAACATAATAGTCGTTCCTTTACTCCTTGGTGTTCCGTGCGACATTATAAAAGCTCATTCCTAGTTCTCAGAGACCACTCCTTTTCTATTTCTTTAGTACTGTGTGTTTCTTGTAAAAATGAGATACCGTATATTTATTCTGAAACTTAATATATAATTACGTCAAACAAGTGAGTTTAAACGCGATGACTTCATGTAAAGCTGCAAACTTCAAGAGTTACTTGCTTGACAGAGTTCTAATTTCAAAAACGTCGAGTGATGATCGACTCAATCTCGTTTATAGCTATTAAAAAATGTTCGGGGAAGCTTTTTGATTATCAATCATCAGAAAGCAGAGACAAAAAAAAAAAACAAAAAACAAAAAACAAAAATACAAACAAACAAAAAAACAAAAACAAAAAACACCACCACAACCAACAACAAGAAAAGGCCTACACGGCCAGTAAAGGATGTCAATAACTCCAACGCTTTTTACGAATATTCTTAAGAATTTGTATCAATGAATTAAAATGAAGTTTATTAAGATATCAAGCGAAAATCCTATTGTCCAGGGTTTTTCAGGATGAATGCTCGTACGGAAATGGAAAGAGTATCCATTTTTTCCTTGGCGAAGGTCGATCGGAGGGCGATTCCATAAAACTGCACACGCGTACTTTACAAGCTATTTTTTGATGGTATAATAGTAATTGATGCGAGGATTAGCAACCGCTACGGTTTCGAAGTCATGTTACATGCAAGCTACCCAAACGGTCTAACCCCTGTTTTTTTTCGCGCTAAGTTTATTAGCTTCCAAATAGCGAATCTGAAGCTTCCTATTCCTTCAGAGACTCCGAAACCATAGCTATTTCTTGCTAAACCAGTACGAATTTCTATAAGTTTAAAGGCTTTTAAGATGGACGGCGTCAGCGTTATAGTTGAAGACATTTTTGTCACTATTTTTCTGAAGTTAAGCAAAAAGGTTTCTGATTACAACTATACCACGCAGCAGAACAATAATTGCAAGGAAGTTGAATAACCAATTTTTTATAGTATNAAAAAACACCACCACAACAACAACAAGAAAAGGATGTCAATAACTACAACGCTTTTTACGAAAATTCTTAAGAATTTGTATCAATGAATTAAAATGAAGTTTATTGAGATATCAAGCGCAAATCCTATTGTCCAGGGTTTTTCAGGATGAATGCTCGTACGGAAATGGAAAGAGTATCCATGTTTCCTTGGCGAAGGTCGATCGGAGGGCGATTCCACAAACTGCGCACCCGTACTTTGCAAGCTGTTTTTTGATGGTATAATAGTAATTGATGCGAGGCTTAGCAACCGCTAGTATGGTTTCGAAGTCATGTTACATACAAGCTACCCAAACGGTCTAACCCCTATTTTTTTCGCGCTAAGTTTATTAGCTTCCAAATAGCGAATCTGAAGCTTCCTATTCCTTCAGAGACTCCGAAACCACAGCTATTTCTTGCTAAACCAGTACGAATTACTATAAGTTTAAAGGCTTTCAAGATGGCCGGCGTCAGCGTTATAGTTGAAGACATTTTTGTCACTATTTTTCTGAAGTTAAGCAAAAAGGTTTCTGATTACAACGTAACTACGTAACTAACCGGCACGCAACACAACAATAATTGAAATGAAGTTGAATAACCAAATTTTTATAGTATAATGTGTCAAGKTAGAAACATATAATTTCTCAGTAATCTTCGTGAGGAAATATATCTCATATGGAAAAGGTGTCCTATCAATAGGTTCAGATTGAAGCGTGAATARGGCGACGTAACGTAGCGTGCGTCTCTGAACATGCTAAAGGGATTGGAAAGGGCCAACGGAGAAGAATGTCCGGTCGATYGTCCCTCCCCARCCCCCTCAGTCTTTGTTGCATAATRGTATGTCAATCATCTTGCTCGGGGTTAGCCTCCTCCGCCGCCATCACTAATAATCACGGGCTTCCTGTCTTTTTTGACAAGATGACCATTACAAAGGAAGCCCAAAGGAGGAAAAAGAGTAGCCTGGGGAGGAGGCTTCTCATGGGTATAATGATAGCTYATGGAGCTCAATTTTAAAATATGCTAATGCTCGTGCATTGAAAGCACTTTGTGGGCAGGAGCAAGTGACGTGAACAAGTTTTTTAATGTTATTGTACTTAGAATAAGAGTCAGATTAGATTTTTACCAATAACTATGGGAAGATTCAAGAGATTGCAGAAAATGTGAGGTTCGAACTCTCAGCATTGTAATTAACCGCTACGTCTTTAAAAGCTACCAAACATGCATTGGCTACCTGACCAGCCTAATACCTTACAAGGAACAAGTGAAACTACACTGCCATTACAATAATCCTCCAAATTTTGATTTTCTCTTTGGCTAAACCTGTATATGTCCAAAAGGGCTTGAATTTAAGCCAATTCTTTCGGAATGGCATCGTTTTTCGATGCGGTCTGCACAAAGAGTCTGCGTTATCATCAATACAGCGGTTACTCTCGCATGTTGACGACGAACACGTGATACGGAGGGAAGCCGTTGTTAGGTCAAGAAACCGTGTGGTGCATCTTATATCATTATTCGTAATTTTTTTACTATTTATTGAATGGTGAGAGGCTTAATTCATCTCAAAGTAACTCATCGACAAGTCTACACAGGAATACTGGTTCTGGTTTGCTCTGTGTTAGCCTCAAAACCAAGTAATAACATATTTTTTTGCTTTATATTTATTATACCCTGTGAAAACGCATGGAATTTGAMAAGAAAGACAATAGAATTGATTTGAAATCTCACACTTTTATTCTCACAATTAGGAATATTTTTCGTGCAACAAATAAGGCTAACACAGAGCATTGGAGAATTCGAAACTGGATAATTCCTAACGAATAGGGAATCAAGACAGTGTCCTTTTGCAGCAATTCGTCATGAAACTTTTAGATTTTAAGTTATAATTTATCCCACAAGATTTTTATGCGCTAAATAAATATCAGTACTTGGGATATAAACAATCACACGAAGTTTTGTGTCATGATTTTATTTATTTTCCTTTCGATTCATTAGCTGTTGAATTGTGTCACGCAAGCTGTCACGCTAACAAGCCGGAAAGCCGCTCAATCAAATCGCGATACATTTCGTTTCTCTGACAGTGGAATGTTTTATAGAGACATTCGATAAAGAAATTATAGTCAACTAGAATGTCATTTGAGCCAAAATTTYAAAGATTTTGTGACTTTGAAGTAACGTCAGCCCAAGTTGRTATCCCTCACTTAGTCACCCAGCATGGTGATCGCATATCATTCTCAACGYCRCAACTCCTTGAATAAACAACGTTTTTCTCTACAGTTTTTCTAAAATGTAAAGATTTAAATGCTTTAAATAGCAAATAATACTAATAACCAAAATAAGATCTTTTAATATTGTGTACTTTGTTATAGACTTAAGTTTGTATTTTTTATTGGGGGCCTGTTATAGTGGGTTGACGTATAGTAAATCCTCATATAGACTTATTAAAACGGTAAAACGCGTTGCAAAATAGTCAAATTCCTTCAATTCATCGAGTGATGTCTTGACAACCGTAAACCGCCACAAAAATGACAGCAATACCGAAAACCGTCATCTAAAATCAGCACAAGCCGACAAACTGTCATCTTATGATAGGCTCCTATTCTCAGATATAAAGGTCCATGACCCTAGCAATAATCTCAGGTTTAATATCTCAYCATTGATCAGTGCAAGCTTTCAAAAGATTACAGGAAAACAGCCATCAGGGTTAATACTTTAGAGACGACTTCGTATGACTGAAAAAATAAAAGCCTCACTTCACGTTATCGGATAAAATACACTACCGAAATGAACCCATGGGTTTTGCTATTTGATGGGATACAATAGACTAACTTATTAACTTATTATATAACTTATACTGYAAGACAGTCTATGGTGAGCACTGGCTCCAGATTTCGTGAAAKTTTGCATGTCAAACWTTGTCATGCAAATCTCCCTTCGATRTTCTCACCGGACGTTATATTTTGGAAATAGGTGCCTGTACGTCGCCAAAGTTTCGATAGTAAGAATTAATGAGTTGTTCATATAAATTATATGATAAAAAAATAAATGTTATATAGATAGACTGCTAATATTATCCATGCCAAACACCTGCCATAMGTAACGGAATACTAAATTGTTACAACACTGGAATACGCTGAAAAGCGTCGCAAACAGGAAGTCATGTTCCACTCGCCAAACAAACAACATTGTAATCCACAGAATAATTAACATAGCAGTATAACAATAACGGAGTCATAGGACCATGACCCGTAGCTTTCAACAATGASTGAAATAACTGCCCMAAATCTTTGCATGAAATATRTGTGCTTTTGTTTGCTAGAAAATTGAGTCAATTTTGACTTGTTMTAGTATGTCAGTTCTTTTGAAGTATCGATACTTGAGTTTTTTCGAGTCAGCATAAGACTGCTACCATTGCTTATACCTTCTAAAAATAATATTGAAATTGCTATCCGGGGAAACCCTTTCTCGGTGTCACAGAAAACCGTTAAATCGGAACGCCATTGGCTTTCGCTACCAGAACATATTTACRATCTTGTGCTACATTGCCTCGACAGGCTCGAAAGCTGAACAAAAATAAAGAGAAAGCGCTTCCTTTCTAGAAGAAGATATTTGTGCGGTTTTTCACTGTAMTATTATATGAAAAGAGCTCTTTAGGTAGAAGATATATATCGATTTTATGGATAGAACTGAGGGAAAACGRTTAAGAGAGCCTTTACTTCCGCATGGAAATTGCAGTGTGATCGATACGATTGTTGAAGGTAAGAAAGTCTAAATTGCACGAGTCTAAATCAAAGTTCATATATAAGATATATGGGAATCTAAATTACTTTTGATTTGGCTATAATTGTTAAAAATGTGAAAGATGAAATTCTATGTGGGTTTTGTTCTTAAATGTTTTTGCTATCATCAGGTCATCAGAGTCTATTGTTACTTTAATTTCTAGCACTCTTTGTTGGCATGCATTTTCAATTTTAGATACACAACATAGTTTATCTCAACTACAATAGATAAATTTTATATATTTTTATATATAAGACTTTACAAATATACAATTTAGCAATTTATAGAGGTATAGCTTACAATAATAAATAGCTATACATACCGCCTTCTAAGAGGAAATCGTGCGAATTTGATGTTGTTTAAAAACAACATTCAAAAATATGTTCAAAAGTCTAAGTTATAAGAGGCTAAGTTCTATAAGAACTTCCAGAAAGCATTTCAAGGTCAAAGTCCAGTTACCTGTGAATCAATTTATATTCAACTCGCTAGAAAGTGACTCTGTGTAAGTTAAAGACAAACTAATAAACTTCGCTTTCATCCTCAAATAAAGTGCAGTTAATTATGAAKAGCAATATAGTACAAAGTAAACAAAAGCAAGTTTAGTAGCACGATAAATGAACTGACTTGTGTTTTTTTCGCGATTTTTTTTTTAATTTCATAGGAGTGTACCAATAGTGTACCTCACCTAAAATCCAGAAAGTCRCTTCTCAAATAAGATCATGCCAACTTTTGCTTTGAATTTCTCCGACCATKAATTCTTTACGAATAATTTCGAAAGCAATTATATCAAACACGAATCTCATGTTTCAATACCTCATTACATTTTTCGAAAGGTTTAAAAATGCCCGGCAATAAATGAACACTTAATTACATACTTGAAAACTGGCATTGGAAAGCTTACTGATACTCAATCATGCTTAAAAACGTACTACTTGGTCCTGAGGAAGATTCCATTTAAATGAGGTCATGTGTTATTTCCGCATGTCCGACGCACTCCACAAAGACGAGAAAGAAATGTAGAGCGTTTCTGAGAAATGTCGAGTGTAGTCTGAAATTATAGATACAGAAAACATTTTGCTAATTAAGAAGAGAAGCACTGAAAATCCTAAATAAGTCGTTGTCTTACTGGAAAAAAATCGCGCGCTTTAAAGGTTGTAAATTTGATGTAAATATGATGTAAGTGTCCAAAATTTTGTAAATTTGATGTAACTGATTYCCATTAAATTTACAGAAATTTGAACACTTACATCATATTTACATCAAATTTACAACCTTTAAAGCGCGCGATTTTTTCCAGTGTCTGTTGTGGTATTAAACCTTTAGTTTGAAAGAAATCGTTCTTCAATTGAAACGCCGCGAATCATAGAAAAGATTAATTCTGAGACTAAAAGGGTCTATGGATAATTGCAAAGTTGTTAATGTTATAAGTTAGGTTTGTGTAACAATAATAGAGTGCAGACGCGAAAAGAGTGAATAATTACTAACCAAATATAGCTAAAAAGCGAAAATTGGTCATATAGATTAGACGATAGGAAACAAAGGAGGCTGCATAATTCAGCACTATTAATTACTAAAGTAATTCATGGTTTTAGTGTTTTGGACTCAAACTCCCCCCGCAGTTTCAACTTTTAAATTAAGTTTGACATTTGTTACCTTAAAATCTAATACCCGTAAAGCAAAGTGCCATTTGTACAAAAATTAGTTCGACTTTATTATTCTTATGGTCGCCATTTTGAATYATGAAGAAATTATGGGATGTCAAGGCGGTAAAAGCACTCAGTTTTTATCATAGAAGGTACAGGAAAGTTGAATTATCTGATAGCTAAAAAATTGAATTATCGGATAGCATAGAATTTGAATGTTTGTAACATTTTTTTGATTACTCAAACTCGTAAGCCTGTAAATGTTATGTTTAGAGCATCCAAAGTTTCTTACATACAGAATCGATCTTAAAGACCGTGTCAATAAACTTCCATTCCTGAGCTTTCGCCTGACTCGTTTTCATGGCCATTCCCACAAACATACCATTCTTGGATAGCGGAATTTTCTGCGAATTTTGATTGGTTCTAGAAATTACGATAAGATGCTGCCGGAAGTGAAATAACAGCAAGAAAAAACATTCAAATTTTATGTTTTATCGCGATTAATATTAAATAATATCTTCCTTAAAAATCAATTCAGTAATTTATCAAAATTAGCAGTCACGGTGAATAAACTCAATACTGTGTTAGTCAGGCGCGTAGTGTCCTTTACGCATATACGCGTACTAGTGGCAAGGAAATATTAAAACAATAAATTATTATTATATTATTACAATAAAAATTACTGAAAAATTCCCATAAAATTGATCCCTTTTATATGTCTTTGATGTCTCTCAAAAGRCTGGAAATAGCATTTCCAAGAGTTACTATTTCAAAATTTCCTGGGGGAGATCCAAACTCCCTTAATACTCCCGCCTTGGCGGTCGTTAGACCCCCAGATCCAAAATATGTGCAGCGGTGCCCTAGTGTGTGTACTAGCCAAAAAGTCCACGCTACGCGCCGATAAATAGAAATGGAGTTTTCTTAAGCCGTGACGAACGATCGCCAACTGACAAACTGATTAAAAAACTTTATATGATCTGATCGTATATTCTTGTTTTGACTTTCTTTATTAAGAACATAGAGTACAGTAATCTAGAGTGGAAACATTTCGAAAGAATTCTAAGTTTATCAGTTTACCTTGGTACTTTATCATTATATTTTGCTCACTAAGATTCAGAAACATTATCATCATTATTACTAAAGGAAAGATTGTTATTCCATTCTAAGCTCCTTTGAGGTATATTTGTTTTTGTGTTTTTACTCTTTCTCAGTTATGCATCAGCCAGTTGAAACTTAGCCCCTTCGACCCGGTGAGGCCCGGGAGATTTGTTAAGGCTGTCCAAAGGGAAGTCGTGGGATTTGATGTTTACACCACAGGAAATGATCTACTTGGCCGTATTTTTTGTTCTCCAAGGTCCGGAAAATGCCGGGACTTTAACATATTCAAATGTTATTTCCCCCGGTATTGATTGGGGGCTGTGGCCATAGTTTGACTGATGCGTAAATTAATGCTATTGTTTGCTGTATTATGATAATTAACGACACATATACCAAATTCGTTTTCAGAATTATATTCAATTATGGCGCCAGATAGTCGTCACGTGATAAAGAAACTATATAAGTTTTTCTACCACACTAGTATAATTTCTCGCGCACTGATTGGCTAACAAAAGTGTGTCAATAAGAGGACGTGCACACAGTGTCGACACCATCACGTTCTGCGCGCTCAGTTAAAGAAAAAAAGAACAATTTTCACTAATGTTTAGACTTAAATGTGGTAAAAAACAAATTGCGCAAGGTGTTTCGTTGTATGTSCTCTTATCGACAAATTCTTGACGTTATAAATTGTCAAGAGTTTCTTGATAASAGGACATAAAACACAAAACCGGGCTGCCTGACGCTTAGACACTTACAAAACTAAAAAGCATTCACGTCCCTCCAGGGTTTATGCAGCAACTATAAAAGCTTAGAATTTGCGCGCAATTGCTAAAGCCAAAGTCGTCCAATCTGATATTTATAAATGATTATTTTAACGCCTGTTCGTAGACTGTATTCAGCGAGACTGTCGAGTATGATTATTCATAGTCTGCAAAGCTGGGACTAAATGTAGTAATCATATTTATCTGGTATAGAAGAGCGCATTAGATCAAATTATATCAAAAATGATATCGGATTTTTTTTCAAAACAATAATCGCCTTGCTCTGTATATTTCTCTTTTTACAAGGATAGCCTGAAGTTAAAAATCCACTTAAAATTARTAACCTCTAATACTCCAGTTTCGAGCTCTTCTTCGGACAGGCTTAGCCTCAAAAGTGGGAAATATATATTTTATCCTATCAAAACCCTATTGTAGTGTCAAAACTATCTGTGTGAAGAAGACAATAAACGTTTGTATGCAATAAAGGCTAAAACTGCGCAAAAGAGATTTCGAAACTGGAGTATATATTATCGACACATTATTCTACTTATCTAACAAACATTGATCTGATTGCCTACTTTCTTGATCTTGTTAACAGAAAGAGCAGAAAAAAATGACGGATGGAATAGTTTTGTATTACGATAAATGATGAAGACATAATTATTAGTCTTTAAAAAAGTTTATTATTTGACCGAATTGTTTGTTACCTGGTTGTCTGTTCATCCTCAAAGTCTAATAGTTTCAAATGTCATTTCTCGTAGAAAACTTCCCAGATGACTTCCAAGATGCTTTTCCGTATAGCATTCAAGATGACCTGTCACAGTACCATGACACTAACAATCACTTTGATTTCAATCCATCGGTTTCAGTATCATCTACATCGACTGGCTCGTTCGTCGACAGCACTGAGAGCAATGTATCTGGAAACCAGGGGAGACTCAGCTCTGCCTCATCGGCTTTAGGGCAATCCCAGAGCTCGAGGATCCTTGCAAACGGCAGTTCATCGAGCTTTAACAGTTCTGAGTCGTGTCATATTACTTACGCTTACGGAAATAGAATTCAATCGGGACTGCAAAACAACTTCAATCATCACCCTCACTATGGCTCGACACACGMGTGCATAAATTACGCCGGAGGCGGCTCGTCGGACGTTTCTGACTTAACGACGTCGACCGAGGATGACGACCCGTTGAAAGACATCGAGCCAACAATAGACCCCGTCCAGAATTTTGATGTTCGAGATTACCTGCCAAATAACCTAGTGGTGGAGTTTCTCGAGTTAGARAAAAGAATCTTTGAGAAAATGCAAAGTCGTAAGGACAAAAAAGCCAGGCAAAGGATAATGGATGGAAAAGTGAAGATATCTGTCGGTTCTGACAAGGAAGTTAGCGAACTTAAGGTCTGGGTAAGGAGGGAGTCACAAGCAGCTACACTTTGCAATGACAAAAATGGTGAAGTAGAGCTCAAGAAGGCGACGCTGTTGAGGCACACTAATAATAAGGTTTGTATGTTTTGACTCTCCTTCCTTGTCAATTCCTTTCACCATCTTGACATCTTGAAAGATGGCTGTGTTGTGGGTGTAATGTAGAAACCTTTGTTGAAACACCTATAAAAATAATTATTAACAATTAACTGTTAGTGAAAAGCTCACCTAGCATTGGTCAGATGCAGATGTCAGGGAAGCCGACGGGGTCTGTTCTTCTAAATAACTGTTCTTGTACGACKTTTTTCTTGGGAAAGGGATTTGGAGCTACATTGTTGACAATCTCACAAGCAAATGTGGCGCCCTTTYTCCCGTCGGCTCCTCCTCAGCTGTTGACCCAAGGAACTGTAAAAGAGGCTATTAGAATAATTAGCTTATTAATTATTTGAATTAGATGAGATAATATTTATAAATGGTGTTCTGAATTAATTGTTAAACGATGGATGAGTAAAAGCGGTTGAGAACAGGAAAATAAAAAAAATCAAACTTCCATAGTATGAACTGAATAGTTTCAAATTTACCAACAATTTCCAAACATGGCAATTGTTTCCAAATAACTTACAAACAAGAAAATAGAGAAATTTRCAAACAAGGAACAGTTAAAAGGTATTTTAACTATACTTTGGAAATGAAAATTTACAGTAAATTTACAAACAATTTCCAAATTATTTACATACTATGGAAATATTATTTACATTTATCGAATAGAATGAATGAGTCGAACRTGGATGGATTGAACGAGTCGGGTTGGTTAGTTGGCTGGGGTGAATAAATCGATCACAGATAATTGATGTGCCGATCGCATGACCTTTGACCTTTTTTGACTTTTTATGACCTTTTTCTGATGTAATAATGTTTGCCTATGAACCCGTTTTTCAGTGGCTTTATGTGGTCGACTTGGATTCCGTGTATGAAGGAAAAGAAAGACCTGTCTACGAGTTAGCAAAAGTTGAGATGAACGAAAGAAACAAGTTTGTGCTAATCGCTCAAGTGACCTTTCAAAATGGTCAAACAAGCAAGAAAATTATCTCAAAGCCTTTCTTGATAAGAACTCACAAAAGACCTTACCAGGATGAAGGTGAGAAAATCCAGCTTCTAGCTTTTCCTTTTAACGATTTGTTTTTGATTGACGCTAGCTTTATBAAATATCTGAATGCTCAAACAATACCTCTCCACTTTCCGCTGCAGTTTACGGTCCTTTTTAAGGTCCCTTGTAGAAACCAAACAAAAGGAAGGTGATTTTCTTTGTTTATTCTTCTTGCTTAACCTTATGCTTATTGCATGCTATGCTTATGTCCATGTCGTTTGTTGCCTGTTTAATTCCATTCCTTTGTATTTTCTTTTTTTATGCATTAGTTACTTGAAACCACTTGTACTAAACCCCTCCCCTCCAACTCTCAGGTAGCACCGTGGGCCGGAAGAGGCGGATAAACAATTACCGTATGTCGTGCTGTTAAAACGGTGTTAATTCACGTCCCCTTCCTCMCACTCCCGAGTTTGCCTTTGCAATTGCTCGCCTACTTACGTCTTAAGGTGGACATAAAAGTATAGATTAAAATTTGTACTGAATTCTGCAAAATTTCATGCATTTTGAATTTTTAGGTATCTCCAACTACAAAGTGATTCCTTTTTCTCATACGTRATTTATCAGAATTCCTGTTATTTGTTTGATCRACAGCACCACAAAGCTTGTCAGGGCCAGGAAATAAGCGCCCGCACACATGGCATTCATCAGGAGTAAACCACAAGTCGCCCAGATACTCACCACGACCAAGCTATGCGGATCACGAAGCAGACTCTTCAGGTCAGCAGTAAGTACTAGGAAATGCATGCGCCATTTCAAAGGACAAGCAAGATGTATAGAAAGCCATATAGAAAGCCATATGACAATAACATTCCGAGAAACAGTCATCGGCAATGATAATGATGAAATGTCGACTGATACAGCAAATTCCCTTTTTCTTATACTAACTTTAGTTGAATCTGATTGTATGAAAAGGGCTAGACCGAGCTAGACCGAGCTGCTTTTCTATTGTTTTTCGTCCTCCAAGGGAGCAAAAACAAAAGAAACGAGCTTGTTGGACTGGGCAAGGTCACTTCACATAATCAGGGAATTGGTGCCAGAAATACAAAATTATTCGTTATGCGTAAATGATCATAAAATAGCAAATTGTTTGTAATATATGTAATATATGTTTTCAAAAAGTAGGTGCTATCCTCAAACAAGTGGTAAGAGACATCTGATATTTATTTATTTTACAATAATGTGAAGTTGTGTTTTTCAGTCTCACCAATGGGGTCTTCGTCAGGGAGCAGTACTTCAAATACTAGTGAGTAACCTATGACATTACTTTACTAAGATCTTAAAACGTATCCAAGAATACCTTTCGGCATTTACTATGAGCATTTAACTTACATGTACCTTCGTTACTTCCTGGCCATACGTTCTACATGTTTTCTAACTTCACGGACTGGTTTATTCGCTTTTCTTTCGAGATACGCTAGGTGCGTTTGTAATCGTTCGAATACCCTCGGTTTATATACTCGTTAAGTGTTTGGCATGTCGCTCAGTAATGTTTWTGCATTTTGTTTATTTTCAAGTGAATATAAACGAACTGATTGTGGATCATTTGGAGGCTCAGAGAGCGCACATCGACCACCTTACTTTTCGATATATCCAAACCAAACGAGGCGACATAGCATACCACATCAAGCTCACAGATCAAGCACGAGACCAAGACTTGACCGAGGGGGTGGTAGTGGGATTCTTCCCTTCTGAAGGGAATACAAAAATCGAACCTCTTTCAAACCATAACGTCGACAAGGCCGTGATGGCAGGTGTTCTCAGTAGGTCTGCTTACATAGAAGCTGAAGTTCCAGAGAAGAAAGAAAGAGGTGAGACGTGAATATGACTCACAGTAGCAGAATGAATTTAGTTGCTTACGTTAACAATTTTACTTTTACCTTTGAGCCCTTATTTGAAACGAATATATGACTCATCTATATTTATTAAAAGAAAAAGTTTTGTTATGTAGTCATGAAGAAGCAGAGAAATTTTGGATCAGAAGAAAGCACGATTTCTAATCACGATACTAACGCGCGCATTTTATATAGAACTGAATTGAATAGAACTCTCTTTATTCAAGGAGGGTGACACTAAAGAGCTAAAAGCCAATAAACTTTGTGTTCATCATAATTATCTGGAAAATCTCAGGCTTTTACACACTATGTAAATATTTTGGAAATTTACAAAGCATCTACATTGAGTACGAGGAATAATTTACAAATACTTTACAAAGTCTTTTGAAATTTACATAATATGTAAAAGTACCTTGGTCCTGTAAAATCGATTCTACAGTTTGTTTACAAACAATAGTCTCCTTCACGGTTACCTGCGCCATGTTGAAAGGTAGCMGTGCCTTTACATCGAAGCGAGACAACCGTTGAGCGTGCAATGATAGAAACCTGTGAATAATTGTCTGTAGGTGTGAAAGAAGGTCTCTATCATTGCACACTCAAMGGTCGTCTCGCTTCGATGCAAAGGCACGGCTACCTTTCAACATGGCGCAGGTAACCGTGAAGGAGACTATTTACACATGATTTACATAGTATGGAAAAGTCTGAGTTTTTCCAGTGATATTTTAGTAAACATAATTATTATTTAAAAATAGCATAATAGAGATTTTTATTGTTGATCTAGTTTGATATAGTAACTTGGTATAATAGGTAAACAGGTTATAGGTTGGATGACATAAGGATATACAAGGTCGCACTTATGTTACGGCAATAGTGTTCATTTAGGCTCGACAAGTGAAGTGTGCGTGGTTGGTAAAGTAGGAAAACAGGTAGTAGAGTGTGACAAACAAAAGTATACACCTGTAATTATATAGAAAATGTTACTTGTATGTCAAGGCCATATTTTTCATTTAGGTTCGACAGATGCAGTGTGCGTGATTGGTATGATAGGAGTACAGGTACAAGGAAGTGTTATAGCTGGCGAGCGAATCTACACGTCATCACTTGGTGAGGGCGTTGCCATTCCTGAATCCCACCTTCCTATTGGTTCGCTCGTTACCAAGGATACTACAATGTTAGGTATGGCAATGGAGCCTCATGCRTCAAAAAGACCTGGAGATTTTAGTCTTGTCAAGTGTTTTGTGTGTATTGTGTTAGGCATAAGCTCACAACAGGTCGCCCGTGAAGTGCAGAATGTGATGGATTCCATGGAAACGAATTTGAAGAGYGAAGTCAGGAAGTCTTCTAAGAGGACTTGGAGACGTACGTAYATTTATAATTCCTCCTCTTCTTTTTTCTTCTTCTCCTTCCTCTTTCTCATGCTCCATAGAAAAACATGTTTTTGCACATTCCAAACAATCAGTGCGCGTGTAAAAATATAATAGTTATTCTATAATTCAATTTTTTCTAATTTTTTACTCATACTCTTATCCAAGGTATTTATTGCTTGGGAGTTCTAGCATTGCTYCTACTTGCAACTACAGGATTTCTACTGTACGAATTCTTTGCCCCTGGGACATTCTACAGGTATTGGAGGTGCAGCGTTGGTGCCAAACCTGGCCATTACATGAAGTACAAGTTGTCTTGGGATGGAAAGGTACTTTGTCTACACGCTAAACATGCAAATGATAGGAAATAGGGTGTCAACATTAACATAATTGTGTTGTTATTTTTTTCACAAATGTTGGAATAGATTGTGTCATGAGCGCAAAAAAAAAACTACAGTACTTTTATGTTGTGGTATAATGCAGTACCTCGCACGGAATCAGGAATCTGGACTTCTGCAAAAGTCTTGTCTCTAGAATCTGAAGTCATAGGAGACGGAATTCGACAAAAATGGATCAATTCGGAATCCTAAACCCATCCAGATGTTTCCTAATTGTGAACGAGTCAAGGACGGAAAAAAATTAGGACGTCGGTTTTACATTCTAAATCCAATGTTGTGGCTATACCGATCATTGCGAATTTTTTTATGGAATATAGAATCTAGGACCTTGAAATGCCAAATTCCAGGAACGCTCCGGAATCCGTGTCATAGTGCGAAGGCACTTAGGCTGGTGTCCTTTGACCGTAGAGTCATCCGCGCAGTTGTACTGTCAAAAGAAGTCTTGGGATATTTTGTATAGAATCAKTCCTGCATGTTTTGGCATCATCTGCCAGTCCAGGTAGTGCCCTGAACTGGAGGCATTTCCCTAGCACACAATTTCATTTCCTTTCTTCCAATTTCAGGAAGTGCAAATACATGGATTGGAGTTCGATTACGACAGATTGCAGGATAAATTAAAAGAAACTGTTGAAACAATGAAAATTGAGAGGTTTCCCAATACAACAGGTATGCAAAAAAGTCTGTTCTGTGCTGTTGTGTGCTGTGCTGTGCTTTGGCTAAAACTTTGCTTTTATATTTTGAAGGTGGTGAGGTTCGTTACTATTTCAACGTCGATCGTTGCGCTTATGGAGGATTGACAGATGGAGGACTTTGGGGTAAAACTGTTAAAGGTGGTCTTGTCCTTGTAAATGCCTGCCCATGTGACCAATATCATAGACCTGTCTTCAAATTCGTTGACATTAACTACAAAATGCACTGGTGTGCTTACGTTACCAAGAGAGCACTGAATGGAACAATGGTATGCAAACCTTCGAAATGCACTGACCAACAGAGACACTTTTCCTATCCAACTTTTCACAGTTTAAATTATCATAGACAAGTGTGCCGTCAACTTGGAGAGTGATTATAATGTAACGATATTATGTTCTTTATTTAGTGTGGATTTTAAGTAATTTTTTAAACTATTCGACCTTATTTTTCTTATTGTAATAATGTTCAAACGCTAGGGCGAGAGCTCGCATCGAAAACCCGAGTCYGGGTGTCCATATTTGAACTTATTTTCAATCTCGTACCAAGAGGCCGCACATTTGCCAACCAGCGGAAGTAAATTCGGAAGACCGCTGACATCACCCTTGAACACTCTGGGCTCGAGATTGACTTATTTTCATACCGGTAGGGCTTGGAAYGAGGTCTACAAAGATCATTCATAGCGGCAATAGACCTTTTCCGAGATAGCAGTTTGCATTGCATTGTGTTCTAGATTCGGTACAAACATCTTTTGTTCATGCTACCAAATATGGTGTTGTTTGTGCTGAAGCTAGACCACAATCCACCATGAAGAAGACATTAAGAAGTTTGCGGAAACTAACATCAAAATTAAATGGCATGTAGCTATAAAAGATGTCACTGTAGGGACTTGCTTCCCGTCTTCTCGGTATAGAAGAGACCAGTGTGCTGACATAAATCACGTGAAAGGCAATGGTACACCGGCATCTCTTTTGAGCTTTGTTTGTTTACATTGAAACTAAAAGTAAAAGTATACTCTTTGTTAACCCTTTATGATATAGAGATATGGTAAGATTAGTCCTTAAACCCAAGGATGGAAACGGATTGCGAGTATTTGAATTCACCTCATTTTCCATATATGAAAAATCTAAAAYCCGACCTAAATAAATGCTGGTGGACCTTGCATGGCTCTTTGAAAGAACTGTTGATGACTTCGTACAATAGTGTATATTTTAAATTGTATTTCTATTTTCTTCTAAAATACTTTTGTAGAAATACAGGAAGACCTATAGTTTGTAAATAAAGAATTTTTRATATACGATATTTTGTCTTTATTATCTATAAATGGGAGAGTCGCTTATACGGAACCTTACACATGGACCACATGAGATTATCAAACATACATACCAGCAAAATGGACTGACTGACAAGTCTAAGAAAACTTTTAACATATTTGCGACGGGTATGTGCTGCCTACTATAGCACGAGTTTTGCATTGTTTTAAGCACAAATTTGCCGTCGAATTGCAGCCTSGGTAAGTCATCCTTACAACCGATACTGCTACAGCTGTTGTAGGGACTTTTAAAAAACAATTACTTAATAGTTCCACGACAGCTGTAGCCATCAGTGGCGGATCCTGGAGTAAAAAACGCACTCACATGTTAAAATCAGAGAAGTGGAAAACCTGGATGAGATCGATTTCGTTTTTGAAAAATGCTAGATCAGCCACTGGCCCATGTTGTAAGGATGAATTACGCATGATGTCGCATGCATGGCTGCCTGATGTACCGTCTAATTCGACCTTTTATTTAGTCATCTTGCAAAAGGCGAGCAGGAGCCCATTTTCTTTCTTTTGACACCGCAGGAACTATACCTTCTCGCTTATGAAGAAGAGGTAACTGCCGGAGTCGCATAGAGCCATTGCGGCTAATGTCCGAAATGTTATATTCATTCTCATTGAGAAATATTTTTAAAGTTGTTTTATATTATTTCGTCGACGTCGTTGTCGTTTGTGAGCTTTTAAAGATGTTCAGAACGATTTGAAAATAAAATGTCTTTCTTTCTCAAGAAATTGTCTCTRAATAACCGCTTTTTGTTAGGACTTTTTAGGTTTTATTTCATGGTTTTCCTGCGTTTGCTCTATCACTACTGTGTGCTGTCTCAAGCTGTCGTGATGAAGAGTAAAGWATTGAYCTAAAGACCGTGTGGTTCTTTATTGAATCATTTAAAGGAGCCGTCCCAGGGTGATCCTTTGCGCGCCTCGAATTACCGAGAAGACCTTGATCAGCGCCACTTTCAACGACAGCGAAATTATTTGTAGTACTAGCTGACACAATCTGTCTAAAATCTCAAACATCTCTAGGTTTTTCCTTATAAATTCGATATATATTACCTCTTTATTTAACATATTTTCATTTTCTTGAATTATTTTGAATATTGAGTCGTTTTTAAACGTGTTATTTTGACTTGAGCCGATATGGCTCGAACTCAACGTAACGAAATCTTCTCGCGGTCGTCCACCCCGGAAAGAAGAAATAACTGAGGTATATCACGTTCGAAAAGACCTCGACTTACGAACCTTGGAAGGAAAAAAAGGAAAGAAGGGGCTTTTCACAGTTGAATAATAGTGAATTTGCGGAACTGTTTGCTTCACGGACAGCCTGCGTGTCGGCGGTCAGGTTTTCGTTCTGCTACATGAATTTTTACAAGAGCAAAACTATAGTGAAGCCACAATAAAAATACAAATCAGTCGTTATTTCTTCTACCAAAGAGAAGAAAATTACTCATTTAATGATAGAGTTTTCTAATCTTGCACTCCTACTTTGGCGAGCTTGGTTGTTCACTACTTCGTCCTGTTCGGCGTCCGTTTCTTGGCTCGAATCACTCGATGAAACATCTAATTCATCACCTAATTACCGACGACCCATATGCATTCACAACGTGTAGTTTTGGCAATAAACAGGCAATTTAAATCGAGATCTAGTAAGAATTTTTGAAAATATGAAGAAACTTTGCTATTATTCGTGTTACACGTTGGACAAATGTCGTATATTGTAAACAATAACATAAGCGCAATAAGAGCAGCTCTCTCCTGGTATTCTACAGGAAGCGGTTTTGGATATGTAATTGGTGCTTTGTATTACACAGGTAGGAAATAATTTTATTTAATCCGTGAAATAAAAACTAAACAGTTCTTAACAATTAGTCACTATTTTGTACTTAGAAAGATGGTAGCAGTCAATCGAATCAACTTATAGTTCAATTCGCTACGCGCTCTGGCCATAAGTCAGTGAAAAATAAACTCGTTCCATAACTTCCCGTACGGCCCTCGCCGTAGGATTTTTTTTTATTGTATGTAACATCTTTTTTGGCTTAGGGTGGTGCAAGTTTCTTTTTTTCAGGTCCATATGTTGTGCACGATTTTTACTTTTGGTGAAGATGGCTTGCAGGATTTTTTTTTCAAAATCATCCTTCCCCCTCCTCAAAAGTTAAATGGACCGTCCCTTAGAAGTCTTAAGTGTCGTGGTACTTAGAAAAGGGTCGGAATGGGGGCGGGGGGGGTAAATGGGGGGGGGGGTGCTCGATATCAGTTAACAGCTAAACTTTGGCAAAACAATTCGTACAAGAACAGTTATTTAGAAGAACAGATCCCGTCGGCTGCTCCTGACTTTTTAAAATGCATCAGCAGTTTTATCTATGCCGTGACATAAAGTTGATATCATACGTGATAGCCAGACAGTGACGCGC